GAACGCATGCATCCCGGCGAGATGGCCCGGGACAAGCGGATGCTTGGGGTAGGTAGAGGCTTGGATCTTCATGGCTTCAGCTCGTGCAGATCGAGAGCACGGCTTACAACTCTGAGAGATGCCCCAGGACCGCCCTTCCGACCACAAAATGGGCTAGGCCGCTGAGCCCATTTGAATGCTAGACTGTTAGAAGATGTCACAGGCATAGTCACTGTTCAGACCCAGGAACAAAAGCATGTGTGAAAGGTGGGAACGGAGGACGACCAATTCACCTCATGATCCAAATGCACAGCATGTAAGGAGGTGGCTATGGTGGCACGCCGCCAGAGTTTGTGGCAAAGGCTTCACAACAGTAGGTCCAAGTTAGCCATTCGGTCGCGACTTCAAATGCCGCGGAAGAAGCTTCTAAATGGACATCGGCATGAAACAGCCTGCGGGACCCGAGCGTTCCCAGAACTGTAGGCTGCCAAATGTTGACTCATCATAGCTTCTGTCTGATGAAGGTGTGAGATGAAGCCTGAGGACTGCTGTGAAATTACCACTAGCGCGCAATAAAAGGTTGCCGGCAGTCTTGTCAGTGCATCAATCCAGAGCTGAATTGACACAAGTCTCTCGGCTTCCTGGCACACAGGATGATACAGGCTTGTGGCTGCAGTCAAAGATGATCCGGTCTCGGATAGCTATAGTGTCTCTACTGAGTACTATTTAGGGTGGCAAGGAACATCACTGGAGGACAGTGTGTCTTTAGGAACATCACTACGGGAGAGTGCGTCTTTTCAATCATGCACTGAAACGTTATTTTTGCAGAAGTCGGTTTGCGCCATGGGACGCTTCGGCTGTGCATGCCTCCTGCTTGCCACGACTGCAGTCTGCGCAGAGGTGCCCTGGAAGGTGGGAGAACGCTAAATCTCGAGTTGAACTCCCCGGAACATCTCCGATCCGAGGCATGGCTGCAGAGCTTTGGCCACGACTCTTTCAGGCAAGGACGTGCAGGATGCCATGCCGCCTGTCCTACTGGCAAGTATTGGAGGTATCCAGCCTGGATAAAGGAGCAGATAGAGGCCCTGGAGATCTACCCGTGTCAGTGGTGCAGAAATCTGGCTGTCTCCGAGGCGTGCCATTGCCGGATTCATGATCGACTGCATGTGCAGTGCTGGGACAAAGAGGACCGAGTTCAGCTGTTGTTAGTTGCAGCTCGTCGTGCATGCAAGTCTCGCAGGGCAATGCCGTGATGTGGCAGACGGCCCGAGAGCTGGACTGGTGTGTGGCAAGGTGCTTTGCAGCGGTTACGCATGACGTGGGGCCTAGGTTTGGTGAGCTTCCTATCCTGACCTGTGTTGGATGCTCCCCAAAGTGCTTATTTTGGCAAGAAACGAGGTGGTCCAAAGTTGTGTTTGAGAAGTTGTCCAATGTTGTCCACAACACCCGAGTGAGAATGCAGGCGGGACCTGCCAGAGTACACAACCCATATGTATATCTATCTATCTATCTATCTATCTATCTATCTATCTATGTATCTATCTATGTATCTATGTATCGATGAAAAATGTAGATGTCATAGAGGAGAGGGAGGGTGAGTCGCAGTCTTGCAACACCAGAAGAAGCCTTGGTTCATGACAGGGCTGCATTGCTCCGTGTTGCATCGGGCCTCGAGGCAGTTCCTCCTGAGCCACATGCCCGAGTTTGACTTGCACTTCCTCCCAGGCCGCAGTCTTTCGATGCAAGCGTGCGACGAAGCTCGCGGCAGCTCGCGCTGAGTTCTTGTCGGTTGCACAGCTTCAAGTGGGGCGTTCTCGTTGCAGGTTTGGGGGCACCCTCTTTCGCTGTTTTGTGTTGTAGACGGCCGCGATCGGCTGTCCACATAAAACAGTGATGACAGGCTCCGTGTCCGTGGACGGCGAGTCCATGCTGGATGACAACATCGCCTTTGCTCTTATGGCCGGGGCCGGAGTTGCAAGGGATGCGCCTGATCCAGAAAGGCTCGTCATTCAATGTTTTCATTTCGTCACATGTCGTCATGCATGTGTAACGGCAGATACGGCCCTGAAGCTGCGTGATCCGTTCCTACTGGTGCAAAAAAAGAACTCTGTGAACTCGAGCCCTTATTTACCTCAGTTAATTCGGCTCTGCCTTTCGACTGACATCCTGGCATCACTCAGGCCTGGAATGCATCGAGTCTGAACCCGAGGCGCAGTTCTGTTGCTTTACGATTGGATCTGCCTGAGCTCGGGACATGACATACTTCAACATACAGCGGAGGTGGTGAGCTTGGAGACGCTGTTCTGTAAAAGCGGTGTAATGCGAGATGTGCCTGTCGTAGCAGTCGAAACCGCTGTGCGAGAGCCCATGTTCCATAATGTGAAGGCCACCTATGGCTGTGGTTCTTCCTTACTTGCTCCCATATGCGAGCTACCATGAAGCAAGCCGGAGGCCTAGGTAGTGACTCAAAGCAGGATCATTCATCGCAGCTGGCATTGGGTTCTGATTTGCTGGCCGAGGGTCAAACTGGCGGCCGCTGTTCTTCGCGAAGTACTTTTCCGCAGCTGCCGAGCTTCAGAGCAGCGCTAGCCTCGGAGCGTTTCCTGTTGAAAGGTTCCGCTGCGGTTGTGAGAAGATTTCCGCATGCACTTCTGGTGTCATTCTGTTCGAATCGAGAAGAGCACATTCCAAGAAGCATGCAACTTGTGTTTGCCAAAGGCCAAGCGGTTGTCAGGGACCTCAGTGCGCAGAGCCTGGCCTGGTGCTCTCGTCGGACATGGGGCCTAGGTCGATGCATTGATCGGTGACGGAGTTCGGTTGATGAACTGGACGTCTTTCAAGTGCCTGGGTGTCAGCTTGCATAGTGAGCCATGCTCAGTCTCGTGGGATCTTTTGGGTGAATCTCGACTGTGCCGTGGAGGTGGGCGGACTTCCCTGGAAAGTCTGAGAGCAACATTTATGCTCAGGCCTTAGTTTTGGAGGCGTGAGCGTAGGACTCCGAACATGGGATGGGCTTGGATGGGACCTGCACATCCATGAAGGAGCTTGGCCCTTTCGCATCCGGGTCGACCCCTCCAGTGGCCGGGTGAATTCTCGGCACACGTGTGTGTGTGTGTGCGCGTGCGTGCAGCTTTTTGTTGCACGCAGGTGGCCCCGGCGGACTTCCTGCTTTATGGCTACGGCAGCTGCACGGCCTGCCGCCAAGTGTGGCAAGTCCGATCAGCGGGCCAAGCTCCGCACTGTCCAGGCCTGGGCAAAGTTTCTCTCCTCGGCGCTGCGAGCGGTTGCACGCTTGGGCCGAGCTCTGGATAGTTCGCAGGAGCCCTAGCTGCCTTGCATCCAGGTCGGAGTGCCAGCCAGGGAGGTCGGGTCGTAGCTGCCCCAGAAATTACCGGATGCCTTCGCTCTCGCGAAGTTCAGCTCCGAGCTGTCAGGCCCTGCTGGAACACCGGCATCTTCACAGGTCCGGGCCCTTTCTTTATGACCCTGCTGCATTCGACTGAGACCTGACGAGATGGCCGGAGGCCTAGCGGAGTCCAACGCCAACGCAAGGACCTTGGGCCACACACTTCTGGCGGTTTTGGTCCCCTGGCCCTTCGCCATGGGTCTTGTGGAATCGGGGATGCGTGAAGCATAGAGCAACAGGTCAAGCGCTTGCGGAAGGTCTTACCAGTTCTCAAAGGCCTCTCTCGGATCTGAGGTGAGGTGAGGCAGGCGAGGCGTGATGATGTAGCGAGCCATGATAAGACCCTCCCATTCTTGCCGGCCTTCGGCATGTCGGTCAATAATTCCCCGTGCATGATCCGATCAACCAATCCAAGGTCTCCTTGTGCTGGCAGGGAGGAGTTTCTGGCGGTCCAGTCGGCGGAAAGTGCCCCAACACTTGACTGCCGACTGATGCCGTGCCGGACCTTGCCAACGGAAGCGGAGATTTGAAAATGTAGGGCTTGCCGGAAGGTATCTCAACAACCACAACTGGCCGCAGACTCGGATCGCTGCATTTGAGGGATCCTGGCCTTGGACACAGCATCCGGAGCAAGAATCGGGTGGCGGTAGCCCGTCTGGAATCAAGCAACCGTGAGATGTTAAAGTTTGCCTTAGAGCCGCTGCCTGAACGTCGTCCAAGCCGGATCCTGCTGAGCCTGACCATTTTATGCCCAGGGTGGAGTACTGGGACAACACCGCGCGGACTTGGCCAGCTGGCAAGTGCGTTCATGTGGTTCTCTTCGCTATCATCAGCACTCGTGAGCTTTTTGGCAAAGGCGCTTCCTGGATGTAGCCACTAGCTCTTCTTCCGAGACCACTTGGTTTTGTCATGGCCCGAGACATGCCAGGTTACTGGCTCTGACCCAGGAGATTAATGTGATGCTCATCCTTGTGCTGCTGACATGCTATCCACCCTTGCTCGGTCAGGTGGCAAGTTCCAGGATGGATGCAGCTGCACTAGCAATGCCGGGCTTGCGATGCAGGAGGGTGCAGTTCCAGCTTTTCACTTGTTCAGCTTCACATGTCGTGCCAGGGTCTCATTGCAGCAATCTTCTGAAGGTTCAGTCAGCATCAGGCATTAGCAGCTACTAGCATTCTACGGCTTACAGAAGAGCAGGCAATTGCTTGATCGGATGGTTGGTTTCGCACTTGCCAAGACCTGCAACCTGCCCTAGTTACATCCGGCAACCAGATCGTCCGTTGTAAGCTCTACATGGCACTTGCAAGCCGTCCCTTTCAGCCATATTCTGGGCATTCGTTGGCTTTCGGCCAGTCCCTTGCAAGACGGGACAAGCGAAAACCGATCTCTTCGCAACTAGGCAGCAGGTGCAGAGGGCAAACAGCTCTGCACCTGTGTCTGGCAGGCCCGGGATTTCGCGCCAAAGCTGACTCACCGCAGTCTCTGGCCTTGCAGTGCGGTCTGGGTTTGCAGGTGTTGGATGGCAAAGAGCTGGTGGGAAAGCGGTTTTGCGGGCACGTGCCTCAAGGCTGGGGACGTCCAAAGTTCTCTTGATTACAAGCTCTGAACTTGTAATTGCACCTGTGCCATTGCCAATAGTACCGGGTGATCCAGGCCACATGGCCCACGGAAGGCCTCGGCCACAGAGCTCGATGGGTCGCTGGGCAAGGCAATCGGTGGGAGGATGGCACACTCTGAGTCAGTGCATCTCAGGCACATAGTTTCGCCGGTCACGGGGAGCCCACATCGCTACACGCTGATCTACCTGCATGGCCTCGGAGGCCTTGAGGAAGAGAGCCAGAGAGAGTGCCGCTGGTGCGAGATGGGTGGCTTAGCTTCGCGAGAATGATAACATAATCGACAGAGTGCTGAAGCCATTCTTGCTATTCGAGCTGTGAAATGAGCGCGCGTGTGTGTGTGTGTGCGCGAAAGGGCCCGGCTCTGTGTAGCGATGCCATTCAAGTGCATGTTGGGGTTTGCGTCCAAGGCTGTTTTTGCGGTGGGATGCTGTGTGGGGGGTCTGGTGCGAGAGCTACAAAGATCAACGATGGGAACTTGCATGTCGCTCTTGTCCCTGTGGGGGACGTAGTACTTAAGCACTTGGCAATGCTTCGGGCTTGACTGGCTCGATCTGTTTTCAGAGCTTCGTGTGTCGCAGCACACGTGCCAGGAGCTGGCGGCAGCTACGTCTCTGCGGACAGCGAGCTGGAGCTGCCCTGGCGATTAGGCACATCGAGGGGTGCAGAATGGCGCAGAGTGGAACTCTTGCAGCAAACATCTGCACCAGCCTTCGAGGTGATTCTTACGCACCTGGACTCCGTGCCTGGCTTTCACGACAGACTGGATGTTGCGGCAATGTCGTCAGGTGTCACAATCATCAGCCCGCCGCTTTGGTGCCTTCGTCTGCATCGTGCAGCATTGTCAGGTGCCGTTCTACCAAGCGCACCAAGCATGGAGCAGCCGTGGGGGGAGGAGTTGGCTTCGTGGTAGCTCCGCCTCAGCAGATCTTAGCAGTCTGGCCAGGGCACAGCATCGTCGGCCTTGCACTCACATGCGTCAAGGTACGTTTACCGGACCTTGACCAGCAACGAGGCCGCCCTGACAGCTTTTGAACATTTTTTGACTTTTGGCACGTAGTTTTCTCAGAGGTGGCCGATGCCGAGAGCTTGGCATCTGTTCGGCGGGCCTTGGATGAGGTGGGCTACCTGCACCTGGCCTTAGTTGCTTACAACCTGGCTTGGTGGTGATTATTGCTTTTTGCCAGGGGTGCAGCACATCGCCTGGCCAGGTTATCCGGAACGAAGTTTGCCATCTTGACGGGGATGATGCTGGGAGAGTTTTAGAATGTCCAGGACGGTCACGATACTACAGACACCAGAACCTTCTCAGCAGAAGCAAAAGCACAGCCAAGGGCAGGCGTGTTTTCCTCGGTGGCATCTCTCAGGGATGCAACATGGCGCAGCTTGGTAGCACAGGGCAAGACTATGCGAGACAGGCGATTATGTAGTCGTTTGCGAGTATAGTTTTAGATGAAGGCGGCATAAACTCTTCAGCCGCCACAGCAGGCTCGACGCATATCTGCGGCGGCCTGGATGCACAAGCCATCACAGGGGCAACTGATCTTGGAGCTGGCGTCGCCGTGTTCTACCAGAGTGTCAGATGAGGCTGGCGTCCACCTTGAACCTTGGTGGCTTTGTTGGCAGTGTGCCTTTCTCGGCCAGAGCATTTGCCAGCCCACCTTCTGTACGCAGTGTCCTTGTTTGCGACAGCAACTCTGCCCAAGGTCGGGTTCCTGCCCAGCGATCGACAAGGCTTTCCTGGCTCCGATAGGGCGCTGAGGACCTGCGCTTTGCCACTTCACGGTGTTGTGTCGGCAAAGCAAGCTACAGGACTCTGCTCGAAGACAGTCGTCAGGCGCCTCTATGCAGCTCAGAGATGCTCAGGGACTTCTATACTACACATTCTTCACCACCACGCGAGAGTTACGATGCCAGGTGCTTCAGCCAGTGTGGCTGCAAAGTGCGCCGGAGGACACGGATGAAGTGCCATATGACCTTGCTGCGGGCCGAGACTTCTGCAAAGCAATCAGGGCTGGTCGGGCTGGGGGGTGCGAGGGAACTGTGGCGAGGTGCAGTCGTCGCTGCTCCGAGCACGCAGTGGATGGGCAGGTTTGCAGCTGCTGAACATTGAAGGCATCGTGGAAAACGTTTGGGACGGAAGAAAGCACCGGGGTTTTGGTCCGGCTTGTGTGCTCCCAGGGGTGGGCCACGACATTGGCCAGTTCGAGGCGAGCATTCTGAACGAGTTCTTACGGCAGCATGCAAGCGACGCCTACTTCGAGGTCGAGGGCCTGGATTGGGATGAATTCGAGATCGAAATAGATGTGGGACCGCCCATTCCCGGCATCAATGCATGACGTCCCAGCCCCCCAGCTGCATGTACATAACGCGGCACTGAAAGCCACGGTGCCCGCATCGCTTCGCCAGAGAGATAAAAAGGGACTTTTGCACGCGCTATGACTGCACGGGATGTAGCCTGGTTGACAGGACCACGAGATCCTCGCTCCAACCTGGAGTGCGGTGCCAAACTTACTCTTCACAAGGGGTATCGTCCTGAACCCTGCAATGCGGGCTTGTCCTAGCTAGGTGGGATTGCGGGCCGACCAGGCGGTATCAGCCTGCTTGGTGCAGGTTGGCGATGATCCAGAAGTACATGGTGGCCCAATTCTGGCATCTCGGCGCTGTCATGGGTAGGGAGCTGGCTCGAGGATTGTGACATTGTGACATACTGTGACCATATCGGCGAGGACGTCGCCAAAGATCTCGTCCTTAGCTTCTGGGCTGCATCGGTGGGCTACGCAAGCACCCGCTGGCTGCCAGAGACAGCAAGACTTTTGCGAGTCGGGCAGACGTTTCAGGATGAAGATAGGCCGACGCTTAGTTGATATGCGACCTGCAGGTTCAGGTGAGGCTGTGTCGCCCTTGGTTTGGTTGGAGCCTCACCTTTTTGGAATCTAACACTTTTGCACAAGCTGTGGATCGGTAGTCTGTCGAGCGAGAGCCTTGCAGGATCGTGCCTTGTTTGGCCTTTGTGTTTTCCAGCTCAAGTGACATCCCGCATGGCATAGCCTCGGAGACTGGCTCCGTACCCGGAGAAGCTTGGCTGCTTGGCTCATTGCTGCAAGCTCAGTTCCTTGCTTTCCTTTCACAGTTAAATGTGTGATAACCGTTAGAAAACCATGATTGCCCTGCACGTCGTTCTGCAATCTGACCTGCACAACTTGTTCCTCCCTCCAGGTGAAAGAGAGCAAAATCAAGGACTACGAGTATGTCGGCCCTTTTTGACTTCCAGGGCCTGTTGGTCGTTATGCTGCTCAGCATCTGCACATGCTCCTATTTGAGACCACGCTTCGGGAACTTCCTACAGCCGAAGGTGCTGCGGTTTAGCATGGGAGCTTTTGGCGATACAAGTTTGTGACAGGGTTGTCTTGCTCGAAATGCATGCTTCGACCGGCATTTCTGTCGGGTTCCTGCTGCATGCAGGTTGTATTCGATCCGTGTACTATGAGTTGGAGCTACTAATAGGATCGTGCACCGAAGCATCTCTCTAAAATCCCACAACCAGGCAGCTGGTTTCCTGGGCATGTTTGGCCGGTTCGCAGTGATCGGAGACCGCCTCAGCCCCTTCGTCAGCGTAGCGTGCATGATAATGGCGTCGCTTGGCCAAAATGTGAGCGTGCCGACGGGTTCCCGGTGTCGTCATACTTGTGTCGGCAGTGCCGCCGGCCGAGGATATCGACTCTGTTTGTCAGATGACGGTAGCTACTTGGCAGTGAGCCAATGCTTTCACCGGAGATGGACCCGCCACGCTTTGCTTTCATGCAGCCTTGGGGCGATGCAAACGGTCGAGCGCAAGCCAGACTTAATCTTGTCTGGACAGCGAGGGTAGCCCACGCTGCCAGCCAAAAAGTGATTTTTGCGGACCGCGTTTAGTGCATCATGGTATTCTGCCAGCTTGTTCTCATCGTCGGATGCATCGTAGTTTCGCAACCTGGTTCAAGACATAGTCGGGATCGTGGCATGTGTTCGCCCAGAACTGAATCATGAAGGGGTGTCTTGACCTTTTCTGACACTTTCGGCAGGCAGTGGATTGTTGAGCTAGTCTAGAGCACACCTCGTCACCTCGCCAGTTAACCGGGCTGCAGAATGGTTGCCTCGGAGCTCGATGTCTCCAACTTCCACGTCAAGGAGGCTGGCTGGTGGCCATTCAGCGACTGCGGCTGGTTCTTCGCATCTCCCCGAGCCTGCTTGGAGGCAGGGCCCTTAAACGCTTCGTGCGAAATGCTTTGTCCCCACTCTTCTTGACATTCGCTGCTAATCGCTGTCCACCTGCTTTGATCTCTTGCCGAGAACACACCCGGAGGACATCGTCAAAGACGCCCGGGATGCAGCACATTTCACGGCGCATGTGGCTGGTATGATCCACACCAGGTCGGCCAAAGCTTGGGCAGAACAGGCGGCCAGCCGCAGCGCAGAAGCTCTGGATCAGTCGCAGAATGCCCTGCACGAAATCACTCGCGTTGAGGCTTGGCAGAATTCTGCAGGACCCTGCGCGGGGGTTCTTCTCATCATGCCAATGAGGGACAGGGTGACAGACGCGCCCCTACGTCGAATGCCGGACTTTCTCTGACGGCACCAAAAGTCCGCTGCATGCCAAGTATCCGACTACTTTCTGGCCACCAGCCCAAGCTGAGCGGTCACTTTTCAGGTCGCCACGGCTGACCTCGCCGCTGGGAATCCCCATGAAGAATGTGGGACTGAGAGCCTGCAGCTGAGATGTGACATGTGGTCCTTGTGCAGAAATGCAGAGAGCAGCCGCCCACAGGCACCCGTAGCTCGCAGGATGCCCTGCAAAATCACTTGTGCACAGCCGACAGTCACCACGCAGGGCCGCCGCCTCATGACTCATGACAGGAGCAAGCAAGACAGTACCAGTCCCAACGGCGCTGCCTTTGCTTCGCCATGGTGACAACACAGCAAAATGCGCAGCAAGAAGTTCTGCGCTTCAGCGAGTTCCGAGCTCAAGACAGGGGACCTGCAGGGGCGAGTCATTCTTAGTGAGATGCATCCGGAGAGATGAGCGACAAGCTGAAGGTGGTTGTGGTTCTTATGCCGTGTGACTTTTAATCGCCAGCAAGGTTTTACAAGCTCCGCGACGTGGATTTCAGACCAAATCCCGTCACACACCTGAGACCTTGGGATGGGAAGTTCTGGTATGCAAAGCAGACATCTTACAACGATTCAGTGTGGTGGCTGCACCATGCCCGCAGCATTCCGATCCGAGGATATGACAGTCTGACCATCAACTTCACCAATGCGGGCTCTCTAACCCGTGCCATCCGACGCGGAAAGCACGTGGAGCCGCTGTGCAAAATCCTGCCTTCCTGTCGAATGGTGCCCGTGAAGGCAGGAGCCGCTTTCCAGGCTTGAGGCTGGTGGATGAGCCTGTGACGTGCGCAGCATGTTCTGGAGAGAATCGGAGGCTGGGCTGCCCGATGCCATGATGCGCCCCCGATATCCGTCCGAGCCCAGCCTCGGATTGGATGTCGGGAAGGCTCAGGTCCAGGACTCCTTGAAGAGGAGGACCTTTGCTGCAGCTGCATAATGCTGCATAGATGAGTCGCAGAAAAGCCAACAGAGGACCTCCGACTCCGAGCTCTCGCAGATCTCACGCGCCTCCTCCCGGGCCCAGGAAGCCACGGCTCGGACCCAAAATAGCCAATGGCGCCTTGTCGGATCTGTCTGCGTTTGCTCGTGCACTTCTTGAGGTGCCCCTGCACTGGCCATGTGCAGCACCCTTTGATCGACCGAGTCACAGCAGAAGCTTGGCGAACGCATGTGCGCTGAGCTTTCTCGCTGTTAATGGTGTTGGTTCTGGTGGTAGTGGTAGTAGTCGGACCATAGGATTAGTGAGTAGTGGTGGCAGGAATAGGAGTAGGAGAGGAGGAGGAGGAGGAGTTGTATTAGTTGCCGCGTTAGGTGTAGTTGTGGGGTAGTGGTGGTGGTGGTGGTGGCGATGGTGCTTGTGGTGGTGGTGGTGGTGGTGGTGGTAGTAGTGGTAGTGGTAGTGGTAGTGGTGGTGGCACTAGTAGTAGTAGTCGTCGTCGTCGTAGTAGTAGTAGTAGTAGCAGTAGCAGTAGCAGTAGCAGCAACAGTAGTAGTCGTGGTGGTGGTGGTGGTGGTGGCAGCAGTAGAAGGAGAGGTGCAGTAGCAGCAGCTGCAACAGTAGCAGTAGCAGTAGAGTGGAGTCGTAATTGTAGTCGTGGTGGTGTTGTCGTCGTCTTCGTTGTCGTCAATGGCAGAAGGAGTTGAAGTGGCGGTATTGGGAGCAGCAGCAGCAGCAGTGGTAGTTTTGTTGCAGTACGGCGGCGGCATTCTCAGCTGGAGGGCTTTGGGATCGTGAGCGCATCCGCATCCCCAGGACGCAGTAAAGGTGCACGAAGACACCGGCGACTTGCGAAGGCCATGGAAGCGGCAACGTTCAAGCCCCTTTCCAAGTTCTCGCAGCTAATAGCAGCTCAGAGCTCATGATGTCGGATTGTTCCAGGCTCGTTGTTCTGTTTGAGCTGAGGCTGCCAGCTTCGCAGGAGGTGGGCTGCCACGAGCCGCGGGCACCGATCCGCAACGGCAACGAACTGGGAGCTCTGAGCCGCACCACTGGTAGGATTGTATGGGAATGATGGGAATGGGACTGGGAGCTTTGAGTTTCGATCACAGCCAAGGACCGTACCTGAACCCTTTCTTGACTCTCGGTTGCCAGTGGTAAGCTTGTTTTGATGCGAGCCGGCTCCCGGGCACGTCCAAGCAACTGTGTGGCACAAGTCAAGTCCTGCCATGCATGGAAGCAACCCTTCGGCAGCTAAGCCAGAATACGTATTTGACATTGCCCGTGTTTCCTGCGACATGCTTCCGGTGAGCTTTGTTTCGTGACATTATTGCTCGCTTTAAGAATTCGCCAGCGGAAAGGACCCGCTTCCACGACCGCCGTCCTGGGGGTGGCTTCTTTGCCGGCAGCGGCTTAGCCGCTGGCAAGGTGACCGCCGCAGGCTTATCTTTGCTGGCCGTTCCAGCAGGCATTGTCAAGCACCGTCAAAACCTGTTCCGCAGAGGCGATGCCTCCAGCTGCAGCTTCGCGGTGAGGGGAGAGTTGGCCTTAGGCTGAGGATTGACGAGAACATGTAAATGCTTCGGAGTGATGATGAACAGATCCCAGAGCTTGTGAAAATAGATATCTTGGCGTCGGGCAGTTTCACCTGAAGGCTTCAGCTACATGCTGAAACTGTAGGCGCGGCCAAACGTGAACGAAGTTCGACCGCATGACTCAGCTCTCCCCAGCTTCGCGTTCAGCTGCTTGCGTCACGAGCTCAAGCTGCGCGGCCATCGGTTTCAGGTGGTAAACCGGACCAGCTTCTACCGCTGTCGCAAGTTGCCCAACTGGACGGCCAACTGCTCAGAAGAATCAAGCAAATCCTACTGGTAGCCTCTTGAGGAAACAGCCCCTCACCTGGCCTGGCCCATCTTGGGGCCTTGGATCTTCAGATACTGCTTCGGCTGATACAGTGCTCTTGTTTATGCCAGTTACTCGTACATGTGTGCCTGTGTGTATGTCTGGTGTATGTCCGGTGTCATTCGGGCTCTGGTCGAAGTTGTGTTGCACTGCTCGGAACATCAGGAGCATACAGGAAGTGCCTTCTGCAAGCATCGCATTGCACGACACGTCGTTGTCCTGAGGTCTGATCTCCGTTCTCCGACGACGTTTGCCATTGCAAGTTGTGTTGAGGCATTGCCACATGTGTCCGTGTAGCCTCCGCAAGCGTTTTCAGAACTTTGCAGTTCAGCAGAAAACGGAAGAGCGGACTCGGAAAAAAGGGCTTTGCTTCGGACGTTCACATTGACAGTGAACCCAGAAATCTGAAGCAGCCGGCAGCTCTTGACTCTTTGCTTCTTGCAGCTCAAATCTCACACACCCACGCACCCACTGGCCATCCATTTGAGAATGCCTCGGCACAGCAATCATCTATAGACATGCATGTCTTTTTCAGGAAATCGGCAGGAGCGACCGTCTCTGTTCCCACAAACACCAAGGCCAAGTGAATGAGTGAGTAAGTGTGTAAGTAACGTTGTGTGAGGCTGGTGAGTCAGTCATTAGGTAAGTAAGTAAGACTTGCAGAAAGTAGGTAAGCAAGTACGCAAGTAAGTAAGCAAATATGTAAGAGTTCTGTAAGTAAGTCAGAGCAAGTAAGGAAGCAAGCCAGTAGGTCAATAAGCAGGTAAGTAAAGTAAAAACCAAGCAACCAGGTAAGTAAGCCAATGAAGGGCCCGCTGCTGCGTTGTTATGTTGCTTTGTTGCTGTCAGGGCTACGAGCACTTTTTCCCAAATCGTAGGTCAAAAGAAGACGAAATAAAGATATGAGAAGACTGAAAACACAGGTTTTCTAGATTTATTGAGTTCAGGGGTGCGCCTGAAGAGTTGGACATTTACTGGAACCATCACCGCGTAGCCTCTGCTCGTGCCTCCCCCTCCTATCTCCGCCCAGCTTTCGTTCACCTCTTTTCTCATGTTTAAGCCCTGGGTTGCGCATTGTGACTTTGAGCACAACGAGCTTTCAGAGATCGGGGCAAGCGGCTCAGGAGCAGGGCGTCTTGGAGAACCAGCAGGCAGCACCCTGGGTCCAGACTCTCTTCTACTGTTTGTAGAGGGGCTCGCTTGTTCGGGATACGGCGAGCTTGTCGTTTGGCTGAGTGAGTGACGTCAGGGCCGCCCCCTCAGAGCCCGGGCCCTTGCATATCTTGTGTTTTCGTCGTGTTTTGGTGGAGCTGCGAGGCGAGCCTTCTGAGCGCGCTGAGCGCCCCGCAACGAGCCTTGCCGTCGAATGCCAAAAGATGCGCTTGAGCACGCCTGAGCTCGGGTTCTTCCCCTCCTCGGGTTTTGTAGTTGGAAAGGTGCACAGCATCATGGTAAACACGTAGCTTCCTTGATTCCTCGGCCCCAGCCATGAAAGGTAGCGCTCCTGTTTGCCATGGGCTCTTGTGAATCCGTGCCCTCGACGGACCCCATGGCTGACGCAGTCAGAGACTCCGGAGCCCCTGTGTCATTGGCACCACCGACCCGAGCCTCGAAAGAGCCCAGCGCCGAAGAATCCGCGCTCCGAGATGAGTTCAAGAGTTTATTTATGAGCACCAATTTGGATCATGTGAAGGCACCTTGCCTCAACCATGCGATGAACAGTACAGTACTGAGACGGCGTTGGGTTTTACCGCATTGACCTTTGGTCTTCTCTGTTAGCAGGGGAGTTCACCACCTGACCAGGAGGCATGGATCATCCGCAACCCCTGGGGGAAAGCTATTGGAACGAACATCAGGTTCGAGGCTTACCTGATCCATGATGCGCTTATTCCTCCTCTGGAGGTCGACGCACCCAGCGAGAGCGGAGACAGAGATCTGGAAGTAACGACGATGAATGGGGAGCCCGTGACGATCCAAATCGCTTCGCCCTATTTGGTAAGCTCTGTGAAGACCTCATTGCAGACGCGGCTTGCTGTGCCTTCGCTCATGCAGAAGATTCTTGTGGGAGAGAAAGAGCTCCAAGATTCGGAATGCGTTCCTGGCGATGCACCTGCGGCAGAAAAAATGAGTACATGTTGGTGTAGGTCGAGATGAAGTCTAGCCACCGAGGTCGATCGAATAGAAGGGAAGCCCAGCGTTCGTGAGCATTGATCAATTTGCAACTTAAAGAGTTGAGACATGCAAAATCGTTCCCAAAGACGGGGTCAGAAATCTCTTTCGAGCACTCACTCTGCTGCCGAGGTGAACTCAGTTACCCTCCTACGAAGCGAGGTTCCAAGAGTTACGACCCTACAATTCTTGGAAAGCATGGCTTTTTGTGTTGACGATTGGAAGGACACCTTGTTTTCCCACTGGTACCATTTTGACAGCTGCTACGAGCCATTCCCCGACTCAAAAGCGGGCATTCTGGAGTGGTTGAGTACACACAAAGACATGAAGCACACAGCTTTCACCGCGGAAAATTTCCTGCAGTCCTTCAACGGATGGTTGGTGACTTGTCAATTCCTTCGGGAAATCCGAGCAGGTGGTGAGCGTCCAAACGAGGAGCAGATGGAGAAGTGGCGCGAGGAGATGGTTCACCCGGAAGCGTCTCAAAGAGATGTAGAAAAGTTGCAAGGCTTTCTGGAAGAGCATTGTCACTCTCCGTCACTATTCCAAGTGTATCCTAGCCCCAAGACGCCTGGCTACACCTTCGGTCACGAGGATGACATGGATGCAGTGATCTTCATGGTAGGGCGACCCAAAGTCGCCCCTCAGACCCTGATGGTGGGAGCTGTTGAGCTTGAAACTCCGATAGCAGGTGAGTGAAGTGCGATGTTGTTGCTGTCAACGATGTCAAGTACGATCCTTTGATAATAATCCTGTCAGTTGATGCTGAAAGCATGATGCTGACAAAACGCTGGTTCTCGATGTCAGCCGCAGATGCATCAAAAATACACGCGCGCAGTTTTGATAAGACACTTGTTGCGATACACATTGTACATCTCGTTCTCTGAGTGAGCTTGTGGCACTCAAGCTTCCGAGTATGTGCTGCCAAACTGTGACAAAACTTGGCTAGCTCCGTTTAAAGACTCTAAACACCCTGCTTTCCTGGCTGTTGGACGTGCTGTCCGCCTGCTCATGCTTTCCGGTCACATGGGAACACCGGACTTGGAAGGCGAGAACTCAACGATGACAGCTAGTATGCCACAGATGCCTGTTTATTTGGAAAGAGGTCCAGAGTATCCTCAGATATCTCCGTGCCACGTGCGCGACAGCAGCACAATCATGGATTGGCCCGACTCCATCAGCGCGCCACCAAGCCAGAGTAGCAGTAGCAGAGGAAGACTTGCAGGCGCATGCAATGAGATGAGTGGCTGCCTTCTCCCCATTCTTCATGCATTCTGGTTTCGCTTTTGGCTCGAGTACGTGCGAAGATCCGGGCTGTCATTAGCAGGATGTGCCAGCTTTGGACTCAGGCGATTCCAGCCGTGGCTTCGCTTGCGGTTGCGGGGCTTGTGTTGACGGGCCTGTGCATCAGGGCCCGGAGCCGTCATGGGATTCAGATCGCCGTCGATGTAATAGTGCTTGCCCAATGCAACATGCTGGCCAGCAACACTGCGGCAATTGTAGATGCCTATGACGTCTCGCGGGCCGTGGACAGGTCAGCGGCATTCTCAGGTCTTCTCATCGGTATTTTTATGGCTGCTAACCTGACCGGGGCTGCCTTCTCGACTGTTCTCCAATGTTTCCGGCCTCAGCTCTGGAGCACCCACGCCAGACGTGCAATGTTCTGGCCGTTGCTGTGTTGTTCTTGCGGCCCTCTGCTCTACTGCATTCCTACGGGTCTAATTTACACTGGCCGTGGCCGAGAATGGCAGGAGGGCCTCGCGGCGCTCCTTTTGTTGAGTCGGATCCTTTCTGGCTTGGGGGCTGGGGCTGCTTCGCAGGTTGGCTTGGTGTGCATCGCCAAGGGTAGCTCTGCCACAGAGAAGTCCAAGCACATGGTCCGGTTTCTGTTTGCCAACATGCTCGGCTGTGGACTCGGACCCCTGCTGCCAGCATTCTACCACACAGTCTGCCCCTGCCATTCGGAGTTCGGCCCCCAGTTCTGGCAACTCGGTGTGATGAAGGTGATCTTGACCTTGGGATCCGCGCTGGCGGTCGCCTTTTGCTTCCCCGAGAGGTTGCTGCCAGGGCCAGGGCCAGCGCAGGGCGACGCAAGCGGCTCCGACTTGGAGTCCTCCCAGTCCTCGGACCCCTCGGAGTCTCCCACATCCCAGCATAGAGCCGAGCTTGCTCGGCTGGCGAGGCAGAGGAAGGTGGTGGTCGGATGTTTGGCCATGACAGGTCTGCGTGGCTATTTGATAACCGCGCTCGAAGGAGCGACAGCTCTTTTTCTCCAGAAGCTCTGGAAAATTGAAGAATCAGTTTTCATGTTTCTTTAAAAACCGATGTCGAAAGGCATGCAGGGCACGTCCGGAATGCTTCTACAAGTTCTGGGCGTCCAAGGCAGAACTATGGGTGGGAGCTTCACACCATCGGCTTCATGGTGGCGCTGACTTTCCTCATGTGCATCCCCGGCAAGTTGATCCAAGGCCGCCTATCCAAATGCTTGTCCGAGAAAGCCATGATCCGGCTCTTTTCGATAGTTGCCATTCTTGGTGCAGTGTTGAGCCTTGGAACGAACGAAGACCCCTGCCAACGTTGTGTGCTGCACAGGTGGTGTACCACGTGTCCTCTGTTTAGCAGCAAGATGGGTTGGGCCGAGGATTTGCCTGCAAGACGGCTGGGTGCTTCTGGTGGCAGACTCCTTGCTCTTTCCATGTATCTACCTTTCGGATGCCATTGGCCGAGGAGTCATGACGCGACACCTCTTGCCTCAAGGTTTCTTCAGACTCGCTTTGGCAATCTTTGGCACAAGGTTTCCATGCCAAGGCAGTTAAGGTTCCGTGGAAGACACAGCGCATCTCTTAGTGCCTATCCCCCTGCGTAATTCTTGACTTTGCAAGGTTCTTGGCTCGACTCCAATCGCGCGTCCTTCTGGACGCTACTGTTGGGTGGTGTGGGGCAGACCGCGGGGCCCTGGCTGACACGATGGATGTTGCAGACATCCACACAGACGGTCTATGCCGCACAGCAAGCAGCCGCTTGGTCTAATGCGTTCGTAGCGAATGGAAGTTCCGTCATTCAATCTACACGCCAGGCCAGTGACATAAGTCTTATTTGATTTCCAGGCTGGATCTGCAGTGTTCCTGATCATGTTCGAATTGATCGTCAGACCGAACATGCTGGATGCTGTGGCACAGCCTCGGGAAAAGATGTGTAAGGAGGAGTCTGGATCGGGGAGCAGTCGGAACTCTGCCAAAGATGAAGTTTCATCGCAGAGTGCCGTGTAAAGTGTAGGTTCTCTTTCTGTGGAAGAAACCGAATTTTGATGCAACAAACGCCCTGCCACGCGGCTAGCGGGTAGCGGCTAGCCCGTGTTATGCGATGGCAGTGAGAGGTCCGGCTTGTCTTGCCAACCTGACTGGACTGCACCGGTGGTGACGTCGGCTGGCGATGTACAGGATGCAAAGATGCCAGCCAAGATCGCCGGCCTTAAGGGCAATAACTGCACAGATGGTCGTGCCATGAAGACAAAAGCTCATTGGCGCCCTGGGTCTGAGTGTGCAGTTCGGAGTCTTGAGAACCACTAGCAGGTGTCGAGACATTGCATCAAGAAGCGGACAACATCAGGAGGTGGCTAGATGCTCGACCATCACCAGGTGGGAAAACCACGAACGAATGGGCTGCAGACTCCACATCCGACTTGGCCCACCTTGCTCAGCAGGTCCAGAGACAAAGCGCTTGGCGGGCTCACGAGAGGACTTGGCAGGCAGTTCTCGCAGACCAGCTACTACATGTAGCAGGTGAGACATTCCCTGCTCGAGTTTCGTTCTGAAAGCCTGGTGGGCTCGATGGGAGCGTGGGTGCACTTACTGGTATTGTCAGTTGCAGCCTCGAGCGCACGAGGCACCCTCGCGAGCTTGGAGAGCCAGATCTCGCAGCTGAGGCACCAGCTGGCAAGCGAGGCGCCGCGTCCACCACGAGGGCTCGCGCAGGCTCGCGCGTTCGCGCTGCTCCCGAAGGTGCAGGGCCCTGGCCCTCTCCCTCTTCTCGAGCCGAGCTCGGGCACTAAGGCCGCCTGCCAAAACTTCGTGTGCCTTTAGTGCCTTGTCGTCGGGCTTTGCAGAGGCCCTCTTTGCTCCCGCACGGCTGCCCACCACAGCCGAAAGGCGTGCACAGCAGGCTCGTGCTCCCGCATAAGGTCCCGAACCCTCAGCGCAGTGACTCAGGACATCTTGCAGCTGCTGCAAGCCACGGCCATGCAATTTCAGGACCTCGGCCTTCTTGAGTCCATCTTTAAGAGTTTGCAAATAAAGTTGCTCTTTCCTTCTGTGCAACGAGTTCCGCTCCGAGGATGGCTTCCACGAGGCCGACGAGGCCAAGTGCGTGGGTGTGGCTTGTCCTGTAAACTTCCTCTCGTTTTCTTTGGATCTAAGTTGTGTCTAGCTCATCAGCAACCATTGTAGCCACTGTATAGTGTGGTTTGTGGGTAGTCCGAGCATCGGGTAGAGGTTGACCTAGAATATCACTCCTTCTGAAAGGATGTACCGGGCCAGGCTAGCACGTCCTGGCTGCCACGACCCTCTGCGAGCCAAGCATTTAGGACAGCCGCAGGTGGTCATCGAGGCGTCTCTGGCTAAGCTCTCACAAAGGCTTCGAGACCTGCGAGCCCGTTACCAGGCCCCTCCTAAGGGCATCGTGTTATTCCTTTCTCAAGCGTTGACCTTGAGGACATGCGCAGCCGCTGCGAAGCCCTGGGTCATCATCTGCAGGAGGCGAGGGCACAAGAGGTGGGTCCGAGCTGTCACTTCCGCTCTTTTCATTAATGCATTGCATTGCTTGTCTTGGCGAAGACTGCAGCGCATTTTTGCGACAGGCGCAGCAGCTCCTGGTCGAGCAAGGCGCCGCGTGACATTCTACGCCTTCCATAAGAAACCGGCTGCAATGCCGGCAGTAAGACAAGAGTTGGCCCTCTGATGACTCTGGCGTCGGAGCTCGCTGGCGCGGGTTCCCATCTCTTAGACTGCGACTTGCTCTAGAGCCGAGTCAACGTACAGGTGAGGCCGAGCTCGCGCAGTTGCGAGAGGAGGTCAGGGCCCCAAACCGCAGGTAGCTCTTGTGCAGTCAGTACGCAAATATGCGGGGATGTTGCTTTTCGTATTGGCTGGTTCTGATGAGCAGGTAAACAAAGGGTAGAAGAGCAGAGTGCACCGTGTAGGAAGATTCTTCGCTTTGTTGGTCGGCGCGGTGCCCTTTTTAAATCAGCCAGGGTTCCGGTCACTGTGCGGAGAGTCTTGTGCGTAGTCCAAGTTCCAGGTCCACGAGGCGCAGCGCCGCCGTTCCGAGGCGGAGCGCGAGGAGCGTCTCCGTATTTCAAGACGGACGCCGTTCATTTGGTCTTGGGTGCCTCCTGCAAAGGAGCGAAGGCTGGCCGCAGCCGCGAGGCCTGTGGTGAAGCGGTCTCAAGAAGTGTATGAGACCCTTTTGTCCAGAAGGTCCACCTATAGGTCCTAATTAGGGTCCTAACCCTTTGGCTTTGGAAAAACGCAGGGGACACGATGACCGTGCTTGGCCAGTTGGCTGAAGAATGTTGGGCGCATCTACCTGAAGCCAAATTCATCGGTTCAGGACTGGGCTGGACGGGGCCAGCAGAGCTCTGGACAGCTCTAGTGTCTGCTGTCGAAACGGGGAGGGAGGAGCAATCGGGCAAACCATGGTGGAACGACCTGACAGCACAGAACAACGACTCAGTGTCACTCCTGCCAAAATCCATGCAAACGGACTTTGGCTGGGCTGAAGTGCAGTAGTTCCTTGCTATTGACTCTTGCCTCGGGCACGACCTTGTCGTCACCTTTTGGATCAAGGCCTAGGGGTGACGCAGAGCAGCTTTTCCCAACACTGCCTCGCACCGGAGCCGGAAGGCATGGCCTTCTCAGGCTCCCCGTTTCATCATCACTTGAAGGGCCTCACGACGGAGTATGAGAGACTCGTGGCCGAGAACGCCGAGTTGCGAAAAGAGCTACACAAGGACGGGGCTGGAGAGAACGTGAGAGAACTTGAGAGAGCTATTGTTGCTGGAACTTCTCTGCTTCTTTCAACAGTTTGAGGTTGAGCGAGATGATACATGATCAACACGTCGCCTGAAGGACCCTCTGCGAGCCCTCGCCAAGGACGGCGAAACTGTCAAGCCGGTTTTGGCTGTGGTGGCGCCTCTGAAGCCTGCTTGCTTGGAGTTGCCGCTTGCACCTGATCAGTGTGTGGAATGCCAAATCGTTCAACATGTCAGCCCTTGCCGCGGCAACATTCCAAGTCAGGCCGGGGTCTGTGCCGACCGACACAGATTCGGCACCGCAAGGGCCGGGCCACTTAGCTGCAAGAGATGCCTCTCCAGCGCTGTAAGTGGATTCTACTCAACCTTGTCGGTTCGCAGCTTCATGTTCCTAGGATGGCTTGTTCAACTCTGCGGTTGTGACTATACTAGTCTATACTGTAGTAATCTTCGCTCTTGCTGGCCACCCCTTTGAGGTGGATTTCAAGCACTGAGAAAAGCTGAAACGAAGGGTTCATGGCGGGGCGGTCCTGCCGCAACCAAGGTGATCCTCCACCGTCGCTGGACGAGAGAAGGAAGTCCCTCACCACCCCAATAACTCCTAGAAGTTCGAAGTCGTCCCTTCATACTCCACGTGGCGGGAAGGCCCGCGTACACGATGCGCCACTCGGCATTGAGCATGCGTTGTCTAGGCCCTCATGAGAGCCGGCGGATGATGACAGAGCGGTACGGTGCGCAGGTCTCAAGTCGGCACATATTCAGACTCGCTAAGGAGTCCGGAAGATAACTCGACTTTCCTGCTGCTGTTGGATATCGTTCCCGCTGGTGTCATCTTAGTAAATGCTGCAGTGGCAGGCGGCCTGGGCATGCAATGAATGGCCACTGATGAACACTGCAAGACGAAATCAATCTAGCACTGAATCTCCTTGTCGCGAGGCATAAGCGCGGACATGGATCCGGACAATCCGATGTGGCAGGCGGTTCTGTCACTTACCGGTGATGACATCGTAGAGTCGCTACCTGCACGCATCCGTACAAATTTGCATCATCTCTTCGATGATGCATGAGCATGGAGTCGAGAGGGCTTGGCCATAGCATAATAGCGAGCAGCAAGTCCCGGAGGTGCTCGAAATTTGTTTCACCATCTTCTTCATTGCGGAGATCATAGTGAAACTCAAGATATTTAGCCCTCGAGAATATCTCTTTGGCGCGAGTCCTACTCGTAGGCGTCGTAGTGGTGGCACAGCCTTCGTAGAGTCTTTCTCAGGCCCGGACTGGTATTGGTCCTGGTTTGACATTCTCTGTGTGGTCCTTGCCCTAGTGGACCTGACCTTGACAATCTCCGCCGAGACGGACGTCCAATTCACGACGACAACAGCTGTGCCTTCAAGTCTCTTGCCATTCACAGTGCCATAGGTGTACATCATTTCTCTGTTTCGACCCGCTGTTCTAGAATCTAGAATATCATGCTTTGCCGTAGCCGTAGTTGCCATAACCCGAACATATGCCCGCTGAGATGCAACGCCATGTGCACCTGATGCAGTGGCGACGGCCACTGGCGAGGGGAGCGGCGATGCAAGTGTGGCATCAAGCCTTAAAATGTTGAAGCTGGCTCGCCTTGGCCGCATCATCCGATTGCTGAAGTTCAAGCCCCCCGGAAGCAGGGATTGTAAAAGTGTGGAAAGTCAGTACGATAGGAAAATGCCTTTTTAGGCATATCTGTGGCTGAGGATCTTCACAGAGCTCAAGCTGATGATCCAAGGGGTCGCTGCGGCCTTGACTTATCAAACGATGCATGCTGCGAGTGTTATATGCTTGGGCCAGATCGACTAGGCAGTCTTGAACTCCCCACCCTCAGCTCTAGTCATCCGAGAGGCGTGCGACCGTTGTGATTCATTGTTGTTTGACTTGAACAGGTTTTCACCGGACTGCGTGTGTTGTTCTGGGCGGTCGTGTTGCTGCTCCTCTGCATGTACCTGCTGGGGGTTGTGACCAAGACCCTCTTCTCGAAATATGCTGCTCGGCTGATCCAAACCTCGCTGGTGGTGCAGTAGTTGTTGTGCATTGTTGAGAACGGACGAAGTCAGGGCCGTATGCAGCAAGCAAGCGTGTTGCTCGTGCTGTGCTGCTTTGACAACCGAGGAGGAGTTTGAGTATGTCCCAGATGCCATGTTCACAAACTTCCGATGCTTCACTGATGGTTGTGCGGCTCCGCTCGATGTGATGTATTATTATTCAGTGTCACAGGTAGCGGAGATAGAGAAAGAGAGAGGACTCCCAGCGGCTGTTCACCAGTTGCTAAGCTATGTACTACGCCGTAAGCCTTAAAGCCAGCCACGCTTTGTTTGCTGTATCATCGAACACCGTCTGTGTATACCATCTCAAAACTAGGGTGTTGGAGCTTTTGCAGTTTTTGCACGGCTCGCTCTGATAATGTCGGGTGAGACAGAAGTGACTCTGCAAGTCAAGCCTGTACCCTCCCATGGACCTTCTGTTGAAGATTCGTTCAGTCAGAAAGGCTTGGAGACATTGTGTGTAGCTGCTGTACCTGCCGCTGCACACTGTAGAGTTTTGGAGCCACTGCTAGAGTCTAGAGCTTTAGGAATGCAATGCTTCTTGCACGTGATGCGTCTGTCTTCCAATGTGACGGAACACCAGCCGTGTCCTCGGGCCTGCATGGGTAGCCAAGAGTCGTCAAGAAGTTGCAGGAGTCCAGGGGGCGGGAGGTTATTGGGGTAGTGACTGGTACTGTAGTGGTTTCCAACAGCCGTCTTCATCCAGCTCCATACCCCAATGCCGCTTCACTCTACTCGAGCGGATGCATGCAGAAAGACAGAAATTCAAGGCGAGCGTGAGCGAGCCATGCCTGCATGCAGAAGAAAGAGAGCCGCACCTTAGCCACACCTGTGTCATCTTCTCACCTGAACTTCAGACGAGGCAGCTCTGGATGGCACTCCACTGCAAGAGCGCCTCCGAAGAGAAGAAGGATACGGTATCTTCATGCACCCTTGGCTAAACGGAGCATTGCCGTCGTTGCGAGAGCTACAGACGTCCGGGCTGGACGCACGCAGTGGCAGCAAGCGTTGCCGAGGTTTGCTTACATTCTTTTGTATCTCTTCGTGACGATTGGCATCTTCAACCTGATCATGGCAGCATCTCGCCTGCAGTGCTAGACCGTGCCTTTCTGCGCATGGCAAATTTTAGGAGGCTCAAGAGTTTGGAAGCCAACCTAACACCACCTTGGCTGCTTGAGGTCTTCATCGACAACGTTGCAGACGGCAGTACGAAAAAGAGGCAGCGCGAGCTGGGTGAGAACGCACCGAGAACCGACACTTGAGCTGAACGATTTAGCCGCATGTCACGCAGAGAGCTTTCCTGGACTGCTGAGAAGGGAGCTATGCAACAGGATGAGCCTTTTCTGCCCAAGGAATGGGTCTTGGCAACATCTCTCAGGCAGCTTATCCTTACGAAGCTCTTCCACGAGGAGACAAAAGACATGAGTCACATCAGCGAGGAGGAGCGCAAGAGAATCCTCAACGAAAAGCTGGAGAAGCTTAGACAGATGTATGGCTACATGCCGCATTCGGCTCAGGTGCCTGGGCTTGCAGTATTGTCACAGCACATGACGACTTCGCCTAAGGCCTTAAGTTGGGCCAGGTGACATTCGACCAGTTTGATACAAACTCCGTTTTATTCCGTTAATTTCCAGGCTTCCTTTAGCAGCTCTTCGCTTTGCCTTGGCGCGAGTCTGACACACTGTAGTTTAGTATTTTCGCGCATGCCAGCCTTTTCTTCCTTCCGTCAAAGCTTCGCGCACATGTTTCATGTCAATTGAAGCTTTAAGAACAACTTCCCATGTTGTCCGAGCTTGTCCGAGCTATGTCAAACTCTCAAGGAGTACGAGGCTTTGGCCGACGACATCCGTACGGACATGACCAATCGCAAGGTTGTAGTTACCCAGGATCAGTTCAACAGGCCAAGCCGCTGAAGTCTGGCAGTGGTTTTCGTTGTTGACGCATGACAGCCCGAGGTTTGGAAACTTCGCTTTGCCCTTGCAGGTGGCTCTGCACAGAGAAGGACTTGATCAGCAAGCTTGAAGATGCCGAGATCGATCTCTCATGCAAGTCAGATCTCTTCGACACTTGGTCTGGCGAGAGCGATCCGCAGCACGGTTGTGCCATGTTGTGTCAGTGTACTGGCGTCCAATGTTTCAACTCATGTTGGGGCTGAGGCACCTCGTGTCTCTTGCAAACTGTGCACCAAGGAAGTTCTTGACGCTGACCTCAGTGTGGCCCCCAGGCTTAGCATCGGCATCTCCGGATTCGAGTTCGACGGTCTCTGGCCATCTTGCGCGCATCTCTGGCTCTCCGGCCGTCTCCTGTGCTCTCCTCTCCCCTCCCTCCTCCGCTCCTCTGCTCCTCTGCTTCCTTTCCTCTTTCCTGCTCCTTTCCTTTCCTCTTTCCTGCTTGCGACGGCTCAGAGAAGTGGCCAGCTTAGGATCACAGGCCTCGTCCTCCACGCCCCTAATCCCTGAGGCGGGGAGCTCGAGTTCGACGAGATGATCGACGGGCTGTTGAAGTGCCGCGGTCCTGTGTCGAAGACGGATATCATCTCCATCAGGCTGAAGACGGTGCCCCGGCTTTAGCGAGCCTCTAAACCCCGGGAGCTGAAGAGCTCTGCAACGCTTTCTAAGAAGATCTGCAAGCCGTCCGAGGCCTTGCTTGTGAAGATGATGTCGCAGGTATGTGAGAAGCTGGGAATTGATAGCGACGATTAATCCCTCCACCAAAGGTGCTGAGGTTGCAGGAATGCCAACACAACGGTGCATCCCAACTGGAACTACAAAAGCTCGATGCAGAATGCTTGAGTGGGTGCGTTTGGGAATGTAGAGGATTGTTTGGATGCACTGCCGCACTTCTGCTTTCAATGATTCAACGTCGGTCTCAGAAGAGGCGGAAGTCGCTTCGCTAGCATACTTCCCAGAGCAGTGTGCACACAACTTTGGATTTCTGTGCTGGAGCTGCTTCTGCCACTATCGTAAGAGCTAGTGCCGACTGCATTTCCTGTCCAGGTAGCTGGAGATTGGTTGCATGGCAGTCGCAGGTTTGTTTGAGAAATGACACTGCTCGAGACGTCTTGCGGCACTTGTCGTTTGTCGCCGAGAGTTGAAGGAGTCCCGCACCCCCCGTGCGCCAGGCAGGACCAGGTCATGCTCGAGCAATCCCGGCTCGCACTGCGTAGGCTTCAAGCAAGGCCGGACACGCGACCTCGCTTTTTTGCATATTCTTGGCAATGCAGCTCAAGATGTGTCAGCATACAGCCCGTTCTGGCAGGAATGCCGAGCTGGAGCAGGAAGTGGATATGTTACACATGTTAAAAAAGCATCTGCCCATGCCTGCCAGCCGTTGTTCTGCGTTGGCTTGAAAACAATCGCAGGGAGAATCGAGCTTTCTTCACCGCAGGATGCAGTTGGCAGAACGCAAGAATTCTAGAATGGCGACATACAGACTTTTCAGATGTGTCTTTGTTGTCTTCGTAAGCAGGTGAAGTGGCACTGTCTTTCCGAGAGCAAACTGAGGTTCCATGTGGTACACCAGAAGCCGAAGCCAACGCTTTGCATTCAACCTGCCGTTGGTGTCTAGAAGCTATAGAATCAAAACTGAATCACCCAATCAAGGCTAGCTCCGCAATTTCTTTGGACTGAGCTGACGAGTAGGTTTGTACCATGGCGCATGCGGGGCATGCGGTGGCCGCATGGAAGCGCATCCGCACCGGCGGGAAGGAGCCGCAGCCGCCAGCCGCTGTGCAGACTTTGCCCTCGCCAAGTCGCTCTAAGTCACTCAGTACTGTATTGAATTTCTCGTTAGACCGACAGGCGCTGGCCGTGGCCTGGGTGCTATCAGCTGCGGTGAACTTCGCCGCACCTGGCAGCGCCGATGACAGGAAGCGGGTCACACATACAGTGTTGTGATTGTGTGCTTGGTTGTTCGGGGCTCACGCTATCCGTAACTATGCTGTAAGCCGGACTCAACTGCAACTGCCGCTGCTGTTGCTGTTGTTGCTGCTGTTTGAGCTGGTGAGGGACATCGTCAAGAGAAGAATAAGGATGCATCACCAGCCCATCAATTCCCTGAAACAACCTGGACACTCAAGTCACTTCTCGATTTTTGCGTCATCTTGAGCCACATGTAGTGCCGATGCTAATCTTCTCAAGTATCGTT